CTTATTGGCCCAGCGCCTGAAGCCTGCTGGGCGTTTTACAGCGTGAGCCGCGGCATAGCCCCTGCCTGCAGAGCTCCCAGGCTCTTTTTCGCAGGAGTGAATAACATGTTGGGGGGGCTAAGGCACCGCTCTTGTCTCTACCTTTCCAGGACACAGCAATGAGAGCTGTCTCTCAGCTCCAGCCAGGCTGCGCTCTCTGCACCCAGAGCCCCACCATTGGTCTCTGCAGCCCCTGCCCCTCCAGATCCCTCCACAACACCCCCAGCTGCCCCACCCAGCACCTGCGGCTGCGGCTGCTGTTCTCCCTGGGCTCTGCTTAATGCACTTTCTGCACGAGCTCAGCTGTGGCGATACCTGACTGAAGCGCCTGGTCCTGTGGGTGCTGCGCACTCTCCAGGCCTAGCAATGAGGACCCAGCATGTTCTGCACCATGCAGAATTGGGCCTGTCACAAACCAACCCATCCGGGATGACCTGAGTGCCCTCGGGCCCTTCCCACGGCCCTGCCTTGCCGCTGCCCGCTGGGGGTTGCATTTAGCACGCAGCTCCGCAGCAGAGGGTGATGCACAGCCTACATTTGTTTTGAAGTGATAAAATAATCTGTGCTGATGATTAAATACCATCAGCCGACGGATAGAGTTTATTGACACCAATGTAACTGGCTCATGTCTCAAACTCCCCTGACAACTCTCCATTTAATACCAGCATGCTCCAAGCTGACCACTCCCATTCACCAGTCAGAAAATGGCCACAGGTGTGAGGGTGAACCATGCAACTTCCCCACCCCCTGCGGCAGCTGGACCAGCCCCCAGACCCCAGGGTGTGTGCGTGAGAGTGATTGCTGGCCGGCTGCAAACCCCAGGGTACGTGCACTGCCCCAGTGAGAAGTGGAATCTGCAGCAGAGACATTTATCCCAGGTGCAAACATCCCTAATGTGGCTAAGAACATAAAAATGTAAGAATGGTAGGGTGACCAGGTGTCCTGATTTTATAGGGACAGTCCTGATTTTTGGGTCTTTTTCTTAGATAGGCTCCTATTACCGCCCACCCCTTGTCCTGATTGTTCACACTTGCTGTCTGGTCACCCTAAAGAATGGCCAGATTGGGTCAGGCGAATGGTCCAACCAGCCCAGTGTCCTGTCTTCCAACAGTGGCCAATACCAGACGCTTCAGAGGGAATGAACAGAACAGGGCAATTATTGAGTGATCCATCCCCTGTGGTCCAGCCCCAGCTTCTGGCAGTCAGAGCTTTAGGGACACTCAGAGCTTGGGGCGCAGCATCCCTGACCATCCTGGCTAATAGCCATTGATGAAACTATCCTCAATGAATTGACCTGATCCATTTTGAACCCACTTACACATTTTTGGTGCCCTTCTCTGCACCTTGTCCTATTGTACTATATCTGTTCTGAGATGGGGAAACCAGAACTGCACGCAGTATTCAAGGTGCGGGTTCACCGTAGATTTATACAGCGATATTATGATATTTTCTGCCTTGTTATCTATCCTTCTCCTATGGCTCCTAACATTCTGTTCGCTTTCTTGACTGCCGCTGCACATTGAGTGGAAGTTTTCAGAGAACTATCCACAATGACTGCAAGATCTTTCGTGAGTGGTAACAGCTAATTTAGATCCCATCCGTTTTTATGCATAGTTGGAGTTATGTTTTCCAAAGTGCATTACTTTGCATTTATCAACATGGAATTTCATCTGCCATTTTAGCTCAGTGGTTTGAGCATTGGCCTGCTAAACCCAGGGTTGTGAGTTCAATCCTTGAGGGGCCATTTAGGGATCTGGGGCAAAAATCTGTCTGAGGACTGGTCCTGCTTTGAGCAGGGGGTTGGACTAGATACCTCCTGAGGTCCCTTCCAACCCTGATATTCTATTATTCTACGATTTTGTTGTCCAGTCACTCAGTTTTGTGTGATCCCTTTGTAACTCTTCACAGTCTGCTTTGGACTTAATCCTGAGTAATTTAGTATCACCTGCAAGCTTTGCTACCTCACTGTTTATCTCTGTTTCCAGCTCTGATCCCCGTGCAGACACCTGGGGGACACAGCTATGTGCCTCTCTCCCCTGTGAAAACTGGCCATTTATAACTGCCCTTTGTCTTAGGCCCTTTGGCTGAGCCCTGAGGAGCACAGATTGGCCGGGGGGGCTAATGCTGAATCGAGGGGGCTCGTCTCTCAGAGCTCAGATTGAACTAAAAGATCCCACAATGCATTGGTGTAGGACCCCAGGGCTCTGGCCCAATTCCAGCTCGGCTCATTTCATTCTGCCTGTTTAAATTCCCCCTGCAGTCCCACTCGGGTGCCGTATGTGTCACTTCCTGCCCTGATGGGTTGTACGATGGTGTTATGTGACTTTTGCCAACCCCACATCTCCCTCCGAGGTGCATGTGGAGAGCTGGTGCTGTGGGTGAACGGCTTTATGGAAATGTAGGTGTAGCGAGGTGGTGTGGGCTGACAGGGAGGAACCAATCCCCGCCCCCTGGTGGGTGGAGCCAGGCCAGGCACGGCCCCCATGCTGGAAGCGGAGGGGCGGGACAGCAAGTATAAGAGGCGGGACCTCCAGTTCAGCTGGGAGGCAGCCGGACGCTGCTGTGGTCCCCTGAGCCAGGGACCGAGCTGTGCCACCCCTACCCCCCAGAGGGAGGAGCTGCCCCCCGGCGAGTACCCCGAGGAGCTGCCCCCCGACGAGTACCCCGAGGAGCTGCTCCCTGGCGAGTACCCCGAGGAG